TCTCAATGTACTATGAATTTCTCTCTCTTCATGTGACTAGACCAGTCAGCACCCTTTATTTTTGTTTTTTTCATGCTTCATTCGTGCATTGTGCAAACTTATATTACTATATAGATGCATCATTTACACTCTGGATTTGTTTATCCATTCATTCATCGTCACATTTTATCTTATTTCAACTTTCAGTAAACCTCAAAACGTTTATAGATTATTTTCTTTTGAGGCCTGGACCTTTATTCTCCTTTGGGATTATTTATGTATTATCACATTTTTGTTGTTCAATAAAATAAAATAAAATATCACAGAAAAGTTTTCCTAACTTTACTCAATGTGATAAAGGTTTATTGCTTGACTGAAAATTGAGCTTTCTTTTATTTAAGACATACTGAAACCATGTTTGATGATAGAAAGGCTAAATTAAGTTGGAAAAAAGCTCATCATTTAAAACTCAATGAGCATTAGAGCCTGAATGTGAGAATCTAAATGTCCTTTTTGTTACACAATCGTCCTTATCTATCTTTGTTGTTTACCAGTCAGTCCTGTCTTTAATGACCTGCTCTTTTTGAAAGGGTCTCATTTAACCTGCACTGTGACCTTTCCTCTTTCCTCCAGGGGGCTTAATTGTATATCATTTCAAACAACGGGTCTCTCTTCAGAACAGCTCTTTAGGAAGCACGTGGGATATTCTTGTGCATTTTAACTTGTTTGCTAAAGCTGTAACGCGGGGGGCCCCTGCTGCTTCTCGCCTCCATTGTGATGCAGGCCAGGTTTATAATCCACTCCTTGCTGGGGCCACTTCACACCTCGGTGAGCGCTGCCGACTCCTGCTGAGTTTGGATGGAATTCAGTGACCACTCCTTTACACGACAAACACACACACACACACACAGACCTACACACCTGCTACCCAAACCAAATAACTCCCCCCCGTTCCTCCTCCGGCGTTCTGGGCTCCGATCTCTTTGTCTCGCAGGTGTCCGTCCCACAAGTCAAAAGGTGAACAAACAGAGAAACGTCCATTACTCACTGCAGTGATGTCAACAACATTTTGACCTCAGAGGTTAACGGTGGAAGAATGTGGACTTAATGACCATCGAGGGAAAGATAAATATTTCGGACATTATTAGAGAGACAGATGGTTGGTTCAAGGATTTCTAGATGGAGGTGGGTGGGGGAGCGAGCTGTAACATCAAAGCATTGGTTCAGGGTGGGGATTTGTTGGGTGGGATGCTTGGACAGGGGGGTGGGCGTCATCTGAGCTTTTATTACACCTCATCCCTCATAAAAGAACAGCCTCTAAAAATAGGTCAGAACGATTCGACCCCAAAAATGTCTCCTGCAGGTTCAGCAGAAATATTTGCTCTCTGGGAAGGTAACAGCGTCACATGTTCTGGGCCAAAGTGTCACATTGGAAGAATCAACATTAATCAAAGATCACAGGCATAAAAAAACACTTTTCATACGTCACCACTGATTATAATAATTGGTGTTATGAATCCCCTTGTGGACAGTGAAGGAACTGCTGTTTAAGAACACTAACAAGGCAGATATAGAAATAAAAACTATGACATGACCATGACTGTGGGAATCTTAACATACACTTGAGTGCTAAGTAATCAAATATATTTACTCATGTAACATACTTGTATATAAATCTACGTACTTGACTTGAGTATTTCCATTTCATGTGACTTCATCTTTCTACCTCACTACTTTTTGAGGGAAGTATTTTTTCCTTTGACTTTACTGTGTTAATCTGCCAGATAGAGTTTACAGATTAAGATCTAACATGTGATTATTTTACAAAATATAATGTACTCTGCTACCTGAAAAAATGCAGTTACAATAACTATAAAAAAAACGTACTAAGAAACTGTGTTGCCAAAATAGCCCTCCAATGTCCAAAAACTATTAAGAGACATATATGTTATACATCAGTGGCTGAGTGCACAGTGTCTCTTTGTGGCTAACTGTCTCTGTGTTGACATTTTGTGTCACTTTGTGGTTTTTGCATCTCTTTATGTAAATCTTTGTGGCTGTTTTGTGTCTCTTTGGATTCTGTGTCTTTCTGTATTTTGAGTCTCTGGATTCATTTGTGTTTTCATCTTTGAAGTCGTTTTTTGCATCTTAGCTTTGTGTCAATTTGTGTTCTTTGTAGTCATTTTGAGTCTCTAACTAAAACATCTTTTTGAAGTCATTCTGAAAGTCTTTATGGGTGTTTTGTAAATTGATGTGGTTGTTTGGTGTCTCTTAATGGTCACTTGTGTCTCTCTATGGTCATTATTCATCTCTTTCAAGGTGTTTTGTGCCTCTTTGAGGTTGTTTTGCACATTGTAGTGGCATTTTTCTGTCTTTTTACAGTCATTTTGGATCTTTCATTAGTTGTTTTGTCTCCTTGTGGTCATTTCTTGTCTCTTTATGTTTTTTTACATCCCTTTGTTGTAACTCTGTGTGTCTGTGTGGACAGTTTGTGTCACTTTCTGGATTTTGTGCATCTCTTTATGGTAATTTGAATCACTAGTTGTTTTGAGCTGCCTCATGGTGTTTTTTTTGTCTCTTTATATTCATTTTGCATCTTTTTGCAGTTGTATTTTGAGTCTCTGAATGTATTTCACGTTAATTTAAGTTTGTTTTGTGTCCAGTTATGGATATATTTTGTCTTTATGGTTGTTCTGTGTCTCTTTGTGGTCATTTTCTTGTGTTTTATGTTTGTTTAATTCTCTTTATAGCTCTTTTGAGTCTTTTTTAAGTTGTTTAGTGTCTCCTAGTGATTACATTTAGCCTCTTTATGGTCATTTTGCATCTCTTTGCAGTTGTTTTTTGTCTCTTTGAGGTCGTTTTGCATCTCTTAGTAATTGTTAAGTGTCTCTTTGTGGTCGTTTTGTTTCTGTGTGAGTGTCTGTGGTGGTTTGGAATTGTCTCTTTGAAGTCATTTTGCATCTCTCAGTAGTTGATTGATGGACTTCAAAGCAAGAAGCAGTTATTAAAAAAGAGGCCGCCCCACCTCCAACACACCCTGGGACTGTACCTAATATGGCCCCTCTGCAACATTTTCAACAGACATAAAGTTTAAATGTTACCACCAGCATTAAGTTATAATCTGTCTATCCAATAATCTTAAACTAAATATTCATTGATTTCTACACTTTGATAGACTGATAGATTTCTTGTCCCTTTGCTGTAGCATCCAGTAGTGCTTCGCATGGCAGAGAGTTTGGCATAGCTGTGAGGAACAGTGACAGCTGTCGTGAGGTTCAAGTCTGGGTCAGAACAAGTCCAAACCACACCCTCCATCCAGCAAACCACAGCGGTCAGTGTCAAGGGCAAGAATCCACAACAGGTGCCCGTCAAGCTGGGATTTGTGTGCATTCAGACAGTAGCAGGCACAGACGCGCCAAGCTTTCACTGTTGCAATGGTTTCACTGTTCACTGGTGATCATTAACACCCCCCCCCCAATGTTCCCCTTCACTTGTGCCCACGCTGGGTGCCACCGCCTCCCTGTGTGGAGCTGTGTCAGTACTCAGCAGCAGAACCTCGGGGCTCACAGGTGGCTGTGTGACACATGCTCGTACAAAGTGCTCTGCTCTCCGGGGAGTCTGAGGTGTTGAGGGAAAAGTATCAGCTATGTGATGGCAGTGAGCAGCAAAAGAGCCAACAATACCATTTTAGTTATTCTAGTCTTCATGTCATTGTGGGCGTATAATGTGATGATAGAATGAAAAAAACATTCAAGCAATAAAAAGCTGTTCACTTCTGTTGCTCCTTGACATTTTTTTCTAACAGTTTATTTTTTAAGCTGATCCTGAACTAAAACTACATATTTCATTTCAGCTGTATTTTTTTCATGTTGGAATGACAGTTGATCATAAACCTTAAATTACAGAGCAAATAGGCTTATTGATTCAGAGAGTACTTCCTCTGTGTACTGCTGGAAATCGGGTACTACAAAAAAATGTGTGTTTCAATACACTGTCAACAAAAATATTTGTGTCTAACTGTAAACTTGGATACATCTAATTATGTGTTAATTTATTTTTAAATAAAATAAACTTTTAAACTGTATTTAATCTGTTCTGGGACTATATGCAAAAAGTTTTAGATTAATAAATACGTCAATTAGTGGATAACAAAGAAACATGTGGTGTGCTGAAGGATCATTTTAAACTTAGAAGTAAAACAACCTACTCTTGACTTTTAAAAAGTAACAGACTAAAAAAAAGATCTCAAACCAAACCTCAGTGCATAACTGCTACGTTTAGTGTCTATCTGAGTCAGTGGAGCAACTGTAACTGTTTAAATTCAAAACATGACAGAAACGATATGGATTTTCTGTTGTTACAGATGTTTGTCAGCTGGGAACAAATTCAAATGTTTGTTAGTCTCCCCTCGGTTTGCTCTGCCGTGGGTTGTTGTAGGAGGTTGGTGGTGGACTTTGCACCACAGGCCGGTGTCCTGTCCCTAATCATCCGATACACCCACCTACTATCCCCTGACTTTTATTGTGTTCTTTTTGTATTCTCTGTCATGAGTCTACAATGATAATAATAATAATAATCTTCTGTCTATTGATCCACTTGCCATCTGCCATAGAGAGCAACATCTCATCTGTTTGTTTTAAAAAGATGCACTTCTTTTTCAGCTCTTTACTATATATATTTATATATAAACTCTACATGAACATACCTGGAATGTATGAGTTGAACTCAGTTTGGCACTTTGGCTTTTACAGGCAATTAATCACTCTAGATTTTATTTTAGCTTGTCGCGCCATCTGCTGTTTAAATGATGCAATTACACTCTTCAACAGCCCCGCTTCTGGCTGAGGACAGGGAAGAGAACACAGTTTCGCCATTTTCGAAAATTGTGGAGTAAAAGCTGACAGAAAATGAAAATTCCAACATTGAAAGTGTTATTAAGAATGATCTGTATTTCTTTAATTCAAAACAGTTTTTTTACCACATATTAAAAATAATCAAAGTTTTGATATTTAACGTCTCAAAAACATCTGAGGCTGGTGCAATAAGGAAGTGGGCTCACCTTCCTGCAGCAGACCGCAGAGGTGAGGGAGTGGCCATCACCTGCCACACTCTTTCCCAACCAACACACTAAGACACTGTGGGGCCTGCTCTCCTCGTGTGGAATAACACTTTCTGTCAGGCTGTAAACGCTGGAGGAATCCAACTATAATCAGGTAAGAGTCAACTATATGTAAAGTTCAATGTTTATTCCAGCATAGAGGGGTTTATTCCGGAGTGAGATGAGGTTGTACTGATTTACTGAAGCCCAGACGTAGCTCCTGAAGGCCCACATTTCTAAAAGAAACCATGAAACACACAGATAATCCTGCTTCCGTTAGTTTAAACTTCCTGACTTTTGCTTTGTTTCATCACAGACAAAGTGTATTTTTCATTCTTTACCTCCTGTTGTTGTTTGCGGGGCAGTGCAGGCTGGGAAACGTGGCTCTGCAGCTTGAATAATTGCATTATTGTTTGTTTTTTCCTCTCCTGACTGTTATGAATAGGTTTTTAGGAGCACAGTGTGAAGCCATTTCTCACAGAGAGAGATAGAGAGAAACTTTGTTCATTATCACAGCATGTCTGTGCAGGTGAGGCAGCAGCCAGCCACATTCCAGTGCCTGGGGTCATGACGTTGCTACAAGACCCTCAGCACGGCACTGTGTGGAGGGGAAATGTGTCAGTGTCTGTCTGTGTTGCACCCAGGCTTCACTATGGAGCGTTTGTATAATCTAAAGCATGAGTTTAGTCTTTTTTAAAGGACTGAAGTTGCTTTTTCACCTGTTAATATTGGAAGTTGCTTTTTGCACCTCATTTCCTCAAATCACCTTTAAAAGCAAATAAGACCCTTTGGCGTGATGAGATTTCTGATGTCTTTCTGTAATGGCATTAGTCAGAGTCACCATGTCATGATACTGTCAGGAGGTGCAGGTCATGACAGGGTCTCGCAAAGACTGACAGTGTCTCTCATAATGCATCACTGAGCAGTTTGTTTAAAAAGATCGTAATATATATCAGGTAATATTCATAAATCTTAGAGTATGAACATGTCTGATTTGTTTCCACTTTACTAGTCTCTGGGAAATCAAGGAAAAAAGTGAAAAGTGAAAAATGAATCATGGACCCTGACCCCTGATCTGGATCCCATACCACAGCTTTCCACAAGTTTCGTTGTAATCCGTCCAGTCATTTTTGCATAATCCTGCTGACTAACTGACAAAGGAACGGAACTTCCTTTGTGGAGATAACAATCTGGATTCACTCTGGATTCAAATATGTTTTTATTGAGCGGGATATTTTACCATAGAAAAACATTCCTGTTTCTAAATGTTCTCAAACTTTGTTTTCCATTTCTGGAATTCTGCTCGACTTTGTGAAACTCATACGCAAAATTGTTTTAGTTGTGAGATATTTTGGCATCGAGAGCAATGTGTAATTTCATGCCTCCTTTTGTGCACATCGATCAAAATAAATAAACTAGAATATCACTCAGAGAGTTTACACCCCCTCCAAGGCCCCACAGTGCACAAATCCAGGTTTGTATTTGGATCTGCACCAAATTGCTCATAAATATCAGTATCAGTTCATCAAGATCCATGTATTAGTCAGGACCACATCCTTCCACCAAGTTTCTGTCTAGTACTTTTCATGTAATCCTGCTAACTAAGAGTTAAAGACAGTGGGATTTGTTACTACACAACACACAGTATTATGAAATGACTCCAGTCTTCCTGTGCAGCCTCCTCAGCTCTCTCAGGTGCAGCCTTGTTGTTGCCTCTCTGCCAACTCCTGAGGAATTTCATCCTCATTCGTCACAATCTCTCCCCCCAGTCAGTGTCCGTCATTCACCCTCTGACACAGCACCTGGAAACACTGTGCGTCTGGAAGTATAGAATAAAGAGGAGTAACTTTTTCTCGATACATTTTCTCGATCTGAATATTTCTGTGTTTTTGCAGCACTTGTTTTGTTCCCTCTGCCTCGGTCACTGATTCTGATACAATCTCCCTCGGGAACAGTTGTTACCATAACAACTCAAGTGCCAGCATGACAGTGTGCGAGAAGAGCAGCAACACCGTGTGCCTGGAAAGTGTCGTTTTGTTCGCCTTAAAAAAAAAAAACTCAGACAGAAGAAAGGACTTCACGTCTGTCAGTGAGTTTTAATTGGAGGCTTTTTTTGTCCTCTTATTGTTTCGGCGTCTGAGAGTTGTTTACTTTTTTGTGTGAGAGCTCTTCTTGTCAAGACTGTCCTGTTTCTAAAGAGAGCTGCACGGTCTTGTCCGACAAAATTACAGCATGAGCACGACTTGATTTACTTGAACAAGCTCAGCAGCTTATTCACCAGATGAAATGATTCCATTCGAAACACAAACACCTGCTCTGGCTAGTGTTTGAAAAATGGACTTTGACAATCACGACACTTTTCCTACGAATTCGCCAAACTCCTCAAACATTAAACATCTCAAGTAAACCCAAGCAGCAAAGAGAAAACCTAAGATAATCATTTATCGATCCTTATGGGGGAAATTCAGGTTTGACATCAGCCTAATTCCAGACTTAATACAGGGGAAAAAAGAATTGGATAAAGTTGAATAAAACTAATTAGACACAGACCACAAGAATTACAGTGTTAGATGTTAGATATGTGATTAATAATAAGTAAACATTCGACAAGTTTGTTATTCATTGTAGGGCTGCAAAAGTTATTTTCTTTCCTGATTCATTACTTTCACAATTCATTACTTAGCCTAATTGTTTAGTTGACAAAATGTCGAAAAATAATTAAAAGTTTCCGATGTTTTTTCAAAAACGTGTAAGGTGGCGTTTGTTCGACCAAAAATCCAATGAGATTTAGAGAAGAAGGAACATAACTGTTGATTGAATAACGAAATATTTGCTTATACATTTTCTGTCAATCAACTAATTGATGAATCAACAAGAGACATGTTTGCATAGATACCAATATCCGACTATTGACTTTATTGTGAATAATACATCGTTCAGATTCTGATGTTTACATGAGTTGCTCTGAGAACATTTCATTCATGTTGACATGTTACAGAGCGAAGTCTGATTACAAGTCAATAACATTACATCCTGCTGCTTGTTTACATGCATCATCAAAAATTTGGTAATGTCGCTAGGTTGATGTAGCAAGATGTTGTGAAATTGCGGTTAAGACTTCTGCATGTCTACATAATGTGACTCAGGTTGGAATACTCCACGTCGTTCTGAGCTTTTACGGGTTAAGGTAATCTGTTTCATATAATCTGTTCAGATGGGTTTGTCTTATTCAGACTATTGTCTTAATCATGTTAATATTGGAATATTGGTGTCGATGTAAATGTGTAGTTTTAGCAGTTAACATGCAGCACTTGCCTCCATATTGAGATGTACTATCTATGTCCCATTGTTCTGTATGTTAGTGTTTAACTGTTAAACACTAAAACTACACAAAAAAAGTCTCACATACTTGTTACCTGAACTAGATGAGAGGTCACAGACTCAACTTTACAACACAACCTATGGTGTCTTTCATCACTTTAGACTTGTTCTTTCATTTCACCCCCCAGACTTTTACATCATTAACAATTTCATCTAAAAACACTTCGCTATCTATATAACAGCCCTTTTCTTGGTTGTATTATTACCATAGAGCTCCATATTCATCTTTTTCTGTCTTGCACCATTTCCCTTAGAGATCAGAATATTTTGGGCTGTGTATGTGTCGTTATATTTCCTCCTTGTTTCTACCACGCTAGTCCAGAAATGTGTTTGAGTCCTCCGCATACTGTAAATCCACTTTAACCTCAAACGTCCCCCTCTACCTCTGTCAGAACTCCCACACCCTGATGAGTGTGCAACATGCAAACCATGCTGCGCACTCATCTTCTTTCTCTTTTCCTTTCTCACTGCACACGCACACACACACACACACACACACACACACACACACACACACACACATACCCAGACGCGGCCCTGCTGGGGAATTCATGGCCTCAGGCTAACAAAACAAAGCGGCATCCAACTGTGGAAAAGCCCTGAGAGAAACCAGCCCAGCTCAGCTCCCTCGCAGTGGACGAACAGCGCGGAGATTCGTTTATGAGAAAAACATGTTATGACAGTTTAACTGCCGGACGCTGCTGTGAGGTGGGTGAGTGGGAGAGATCGCCTAATGAGGTGTGTTGTCAGGGTAGTTTGCTGAGTCAACATGTAGTCAGGCTTTTGATTGACAGAACAGAAAAAAATCACACGAGTGGTGCAGAGTGAGGATTACTGGATTTATGGGTTTGGCGGTTGAGAGCATGTTTCGTGATTTTGAATTTGAAGGCTTCGGTTTGTGATCAGTCATCAAGTTCTGTCGGTGTGTCTGCAGGTTTTTCACCTTTCTTGAAGTCGTGAAACATCCGTGTCCAGGTGTGCTGTTGTGGCTGTGATCGTTGTTGGCTTTGAGCTGAAGTTTGAGTCTTTCCATTATATTCATCTGATATCATGTTTGTTTAAACCTGAGTGGCTGGAGCACAATAACCTGTTGATGGAAACAGGGGAAACATCTTGGTTGTCTCCGTCCAAATTTAACAAAATCCACTTGCTAGCTCATTTCAAACTATCCAACAATTATATTTTGTTAAGTTAACCCATAACAAGAACTAACCATCACCATAAAACTACAAATTTACACTTACATTTCGTACATGTAATGAAACAAAGATATGCAGTATCAAATTGTGAATGTTAGAGGTGTTAATAGGTGGACATCACAGGCTGTAAAAAAATAAAATTTACGCCATTACAGCTCCCCGTGTAGTATAAGTCATAAACCCTGCCTCCTGCATGTTAGTGGATGGGACGAAGACCAAACTAAAAAAGTCAAACTGCAGGTCAAAAATAAGGGTTTCTGTAATTTTACGTTGTTCTTATCAAACTGATTGATGGAGGTTCAAGTGCTATTATCTCTGGTTAGTTTGGTTTTTATTTAGTTTTGTTTATTAGCTTAGATTGACAGCAGTTTGACGATTGAAACTTGTATTGATAGATTATTTTCATTTGACTCTAGGTTCAAAAGTGAATATGTATTTCCCAAAATATCAAATTATTTCTAAAATAAGTACAGAATCCGTCCATTGAAGTTTTAACTCACTCTTACATGTAAGACAAATCAACATGATTTGCCTAAAGGCTCAGAGCTAAGATGCTTCTACGTGTGTTGGTTAGTTCTGTCCGTCATTGTTTGTTATCTATAGTTTCCTGTAGTTTCCCACAGACCATCACTCCCACGTTGTGTTATCAACATGAATTCAACTTGAAATGATTTTAAAATGTTCCAGATGATACAAGTCTCTACACTGTCACAGTTTTGTTGTATGAATCACACCGGCCCTCGCTTGAAATCACGGTGAGGAAAGAATGTAATCGGCCAATCTCAGAATCAAATAATGTGAGTCAGACACCACATGGAACCAGATCACAGCATTAATGTGAAGCATGGTATGAGTAAAGTACTACGCTGCAGCAAGTCACAGAACAGTGTGTGCTCTGGTGCTGAAGACAAAGTCGTGTCATCACAGGCCTTCAATTGATATTCACATTATGTCTAAATTCAATAGTTTTCCTTTGTCTGTAACAAGGATGTTGTGGATATGATGGTGACAACCCAACCGTGACAATGTACGAGGTGATGTCCGGAGATACCCTGTCCTGGAAGGTGCCCAGTCCCAGACAAAGCACCGTTGAGTCCAGCCCAGAGTCGCACTTCACGGGGGACGGAGGACCCACCAAGATCCTCAAAGTTTGCTTCTGCATCAACAACAACCTGGGCAAGAACTTCAAGCTGGTGAAATGTGACAGCTCCTGGCAAATCAGGGTGAGAGAATTGTGCAAAATATGGGGATGTGAGTCAACGTGTCAGAAGACTGTGATGAAGAGGGAAAGTTTGTTTGTCTTCTGATAACAAATCAAAGTTGATCAGACAGTTTTGAATAATGTAGTATTTATTTATACCTCAGCTGGAGATTATGTTTTTTTTGGCTTTAATAAAATGTACAAAAATTGATAAATACCTTTTACTACTTTCAAATAATCATAATCTCTCATGCAGAGTTAGCAACAGCCCACACACTCCTCCTACTCATTAAATCAAAGCAAGCGTCCAACATTAAGTATAATATTTGGAATGGTTGAATAAAAATCCATGGTCTTCCATTCAGGCGATCATTCGTTCGATTCTGGTGAGCGGCCGTCTTGGTCCGAACATCACTCATATAGCATGTTACGGCCTCCTGCTGAAACACTTGAAGTCTGAGGAACTTCACTGGCTGCATCCTGATCTGACTGTTGGGGAGGTAGAGCAGCGCTACGAGAACAATCATGCGGAGGCAGAGTGGAGGTACGCGTGTGTTTTTATCCACCATTTCTTTTTTTCTCTATCCAAAGCTTGGATGTGTGTTACGAGAGACGTTTGCCGTGTGTGACATTAAAGTGCTGCGTACTTTCTTTTCATACAGGTATGACCTTCGAATCAGATACATTCCTGTTAATTTCCTGGAAAAATTCCAAGATGACAGATCTACTTTGATTTATTTTTACCAACAGGTAACAAACTACAGTGTATGTTCTCTTTTAATGTTCTGTCTGGTATAGATCAATGGATATGTGATCAAAAGTCACACTGACAGAAAAAAAGCAGATGTTCAGCAGAGACGAGACATTTTCCTTGTCTGGTTTTTTGTTGATAACATGTGTTTCAAATATATATATATATATATATATATATTACCAACATTCCTGGACTAAATATTTTTCTGATCCCTCTGTGCAACTATGTATCAGGTGCGTAGTGACTATATGCAGTATCATGCCAGTAAAGTGAGTGATGGGATGGCTCTGCAGCTCGGCTGTTTGGAGATCAGGTGAGTTCCTGCATTCCTCTCTGCATTCCTTTGCTCTCACAGGTTAAACTTTGCACTTCCATTTGTTTGAGCCTGGGGGGGAGGGGTAGAGTTAGCTGTATTCATAGTATATTTAATATCTTTGGAAGGATATAGATGAGATGATATTCCGACTGTCAGTATGTAGTAGTAGGTTATAAATACATTTAATGTTGAGAATGCACAAACTATCTCACCTGCTTTTTTTCCCTGTTTTTACAGGAGGTTTTATAAAGACATGAATGCGAAAGGTCTAGAAAAGAAGTCTAACTTTGAGCTGCTAGAGTAAGTTTTTATTTAACGTTGACTTTAAAACTTTCATTTTGATATGGTTGATTATATCATTTTACTGAAAATGAGCTTGATTTGATGAAATCCTCATTAAATCTGATCATGATAGAAATGCCTGGTAGCAACTTGACAACATATTTTGGACTTGAAGAACGTTATCATGTGTGCGTCTTTAACTTTGTTTTTCTTTGCAAATGAAGAAAAGAAGTTGGACTGGACCTTTTCTTTCCTCAACAGCTGATTAACAGCATGAAGGTGAACTTTCCCAACCTTGAATGAAGTATAACTAACCAGATACTGACCATCTACAAATAATAACAAATCCAAATGTCTGTGTTGCGATTCAGCCAAAGCAGCTACGGAAGCTGATCCAGCAAACGTTTCAGCAGTTTGCGACCCTCAAGGAGGACGACTGCATGGTCAAGTTTTACGAGACCCTGAAAGAGTTTGTCAGCTATGACGAAGAGGTTTTCCCATGTGAACTAGTGGTGAGTGAAAACATGATTTCAGGATCTTGTTTTCTTTCTGGTCCCACCTCACTTCCAAGTCCACCTGGTCATGAACGTGTCATGAACATGCCACAGTGTGCTCGGCCCTAAATCCATCTCATTCATCAACAGCAAGGCTGGAGTCTGTCAGTGGAGCTGGTCGTCGGTGGGAGAGGAATTCGCCAGCGCACGCAGAAGGATGCAGCGGTAAGCATGGTGAAGATTTAGGTATTTCCTGTGAGAGCACTTTGACCTTTAATCATACAGAACACTGTGATGTGTCTGTATATCTGATATGTTCAGCCTTGTTCGAGGGGTTTTGGGGAAATACGATTATTTGTTTTCTTCCAGAAAATGAAACAAGAAGATGATCTCATGTCTGGATTTAAAAAACAAAGCTAGTTCCAGCATCCAGATAGTTTAGCTTAGCTTAGGGGGAAAAGGCTAGCCTGGCTTTTTCCGGGACAAGATGGCGACATTCGTGTCTGGGATATTGTGGCTTCATCTCTGGATAGTGGGAGGAAGTGGGAATGCATTGTACATTTTTATATACAGTTTATGATCTAAAAATATTTATCATTGTGTATCTCAACTATAATTCAGTTAAGCTTCATTTACTAAACTCAACATATTCCATTTCTTCTCTTTTGTGCCGTAGGCCGTGTTTCTTGCCGACTTCAAACAGATCAAGTCAGTTCAATGTATATCTCAGGGAGACGGCAAAGCTCTCCTGAACTTCGACATAGAGGGGGCCCGACAGGTGAGTACCACAACAACAGAATCATATATCATTACTCAACATTTCTCTGTTCTCATGCCCTTTTTTTTTTTTTCCTCCTCTCTGATAGCGACTATCGATCAACGTGGCCACGGTCCCTATGGCAGAGAACATGATAGACCTTATTGATGGGTACTGCCGCTTGGAAAGTGGCACAGATGAGTCTGTTATATCCAGACCAGGTAAAGGTGTGTACAACTGAGCTATTTCCTTTATGTTTTTTAAGTCACCTGTGACTATAACATTGTTGTTATAAATGTATGATTTGAAGCTAACTGGAACTGTCATAACTCATTTCTATCCTAGATGCTAATTCAGGTCCCCTGCCTGAGATTCCTACAGGGTGAGTGTTTTACAACTTGAAAAGATTGCTGCCCTGTCTCAGTCCAAGCTCTACTCATTCCCATTGGTTGTAAAATTATCGAAAAGTTATTTATTGATGTGAGGACCTGTTTTATTGAATCGTGGAGCCGTAACTTGAAAATGTATGACCAGGGCTTTCTCTCATTCTGTCTTTTCTGCCGAGCAGCAGAGACAGAGACTCGGCGAGATACAGTATGGGTGAGCTGACACTTTCTCTATTGTACCACACATCACACAGTCTTACGTTTTTTTTAATACCGAAAACAGTTTATTGAAGAATTTATAATCAACTCAAATTTTTTTAAATGTTGTTTGTATTTGCAGGGTCAGATATCTACTGTGAGATCCTCGATGAAAGGCCGAAATCAGGTTTGTCACAAGTTTGTTTTCATATCTTTTGAAGATCACGAATAAAGTCGTGTTTGAGCTTTGTTAAATCCTATTCTCTAGTAGTGAAGTATGGGATTGACCGAAATGACATCGTTCTCGGACGAATTCTCGGTGAGGGGTTTTTCGGGGAAGTCTACGACGGCGTTTACAAGAAGAATGTAAGTGTATCTTACTAACTATCCTGAGCTGATTTCAGACATGACATTTTGCGAAGTTCACCTTTCACATATGAAGAACGAAGCAGGAGATAGTCCGGGTCAGATGCCTTTACAATATCAGGAAAATATCTGGAAAATGTACACGAGGGGTGGTGCCTGGGTAGAGTGTTGAGGAGTTAAATTCCTCAGTGGAAATCACATGTTTTAGTTTACAGCACACAAAACACTTTGGTCTGTGTCTTCTGTGTGTATAGCACCTCTTTTCTTCCAGTTTTGCGTTCGTCACTGGGCTCACTCTGACTCTTTCAGACAAATCCGGTAAATGTCTGGAGCAACTGACTTTGCGTTCTTACACAAAGCCCCTCTGGAAAATGTCTGGACTTCAGTGCATGTCTGAAAGCAGCTTAATTGAGACTATATTCACTTCACAGAAACTTTAACAGGCTCAGTTGTGTACTCTGCTGTTTGCATAAATCCTCTTATTGATTTCCACTAAACAAAGGACTGTGTCTCTCTCTCTGTCGATCTAACAGAATGTAGAGAGGATCAATGTTGCAGTGAAAACCTGTAAAGACTGTTCACCCGATGTGATGGAGAAGTTCATGAGTGAAGCGGGTAATGAAGTAGAATACACCAGAATTACATTAATTCAAGGGGGTGACAATGATATTAAAATGTGTTCACTCTTATGTAATTGTCAGTAATAATGAAGAACCTGCAACATCCTCACATCGTCAAACTGATCGGAATCATCGAGGAGGATCCTGTGTGGATCGTCATGGAGCTCTATCAGTACGGAGAGGTTAGTGTCAGCCACGATGTTTATTTTAATTCAGTCTTAAAGGGATTGATTTGTTTAAGACACATCAACAAGACAATAAAATCTTCTGTTATGTCCAAAGGAAACATGAGTCCTGGTGATAATGGTGCAGTTACATCGATTTACTTGAGAGACAGAATCAGTGAGAATGAGCTACACTAAATTAAATTCCTGCCTGATGCTGTTGCAGCTGGGAAACTACCTGACTCAGAAGGAGAACGATCTGACAAACATGACCCTGGTGCTGTTCAGTCTGCAGATCTGCAAAGCCCTGGTCTACCTCTCAGGGGTCAATGTGGTTCACAGGTAAGAGAATACTTTTATCTTTATTCAGGGACACTGTCATTATCATTTATTTACAGTAGTTAAATTACATTTTCATCTGGCAGTTTTAAA